ATAATGTATTATGTACATATTCGAACGGTAAAAAGTAAGGAATCACCAATGATTCATGAACTGATAATCAATAGCAAATAATAAAGAATAACGATGATTGGATCTATTCATAAATTATGCAAATTCGTGTATCAAAGAGTACGAAAAAAAAAAAAAGGAAGTTGTGTGAAAATATTAATTTGTAAGTAGTAATAGCATGTAAGAAAATGAGTACATATTGAGAAGGAAAATAATAATAGAGTTAAAAAGGCCAGGTCGATGAAAAGAAGCCCGCATGCGCCCTTTTTTGACTCTGTCTACTCAGGATAATTATAAAAAAGGCCATAAGTCTACTGTACAGATGTCAATTCATTCTTAAACTTTTCAATTTTATCAATTTAAGGTTAAACATTTTAACGATTTGTCAACGTAGTCATTCCGGTAAATTTTGATCGGAAATTGCCGACGCGGATGCCGGCCGTCCTGTGTGGTACGGCCGGCTCCGAAATTTTCGCTCGCATTTCAGGAAATGAGATAATTTCACGAAAACAATGCAACCGACACCCTTTCCTTGGAAAAAATCGTGGGGAGGACCGTTACGAGACCACTAACATAAGCTCGAAAAACAACTCAAAAAGTCAAATAATTGCGTTGCATCATCCGTTCTTACACCAAAAGTCAAACATTAACGTTGGATTTTGCTGTTGGTCAGTCCGGCATTTCCCAACGTTCTTCTTCGCGCGCACAAACATGGCATGCGAATCCCCCCCAAAGAATTCAACGACATGGCGAACAAAATGGACCGCCCATCTTTGAAAGCACGCCACCTTCCATCGTCCCTTCCATTCCAATATTCCTGGCAATAGCATGTGCATCAGAACAGCAATGAATGATACACTATGGACCTTGGACAAAAAGAGAGGGAGAGAGAGAATGAACGTGTCGAGGGTCCATATGCAATCATCGCGAGCGACACACGCGAACGGGTCGATCGAATGCCGGCGATTCCGATCCTTCGTGCCTCGTTCATGTTGTCGATGAAGCAAATCGACGACACGACATTGATCGAACGCTGGTATGACATTGATCGAACACTGGTGATTCCGATCGCATGCGTTTGCTTTTTGTGGTAAGATATGGAGTTGGTTCAGTTTTTATAGCTACCTATGATCGTAGTTAAATCAATATTATCGATTCAAAAACATAAGAGTTTGGAGTTCTTTACTCAAAAAGTAAGGTTGAAAAATCTATGTTGGGTATAATTTTATTTATGTAGCGAGTATTTCTTCATAATCATAAAATTATTGTGCAAAGCGACAGCTTGTCCAAGGACTTTTTAAAGGAATTTCGAAAGGCAAAATCGAAAAAAACCTATGGAAACATATGGTATTTTCGTTATTTTGATAAAAATTAGTGGACCCAACTGTCCCCAAACTTAGCAAAGTGGATGTTTCCAAACCTTCACACAAAATACTTTCTTTCAAATTAGGATAGAGTTAAATCATAAATCAGTGCAATTAAATTAGAAATCATTGCAATTGAGGACACTTTCATCGAGGGGCCTAAAAAGTTTTATTGTTTTAATTCGATCCCTTGGGACAGTAGTCCTTGGTAACATTGAAATTCATGCAAAAAGCACATGGGTGTTCCTACTTGCATTATGAGAAAATTGGGTGACTTTGACTTTATGGTGAAAGTGAGGTGTGTGTCAATAAACAATTTAAAGGAAAAAAAGCAAAGAAATGTCCTAAGAAGTTTTCATCTCGCTTACTCAATAGAGACGTTATGAGGAAAGCTGCAAAATTTTGAAAATTAAAACTATTTCCTCTTCCATTTCTATGAACACAAAAACTGAAAATGAGCCTTTAGATTTCCTTTCTCGACACGAAAAAGAAAATCTAGTCCACCACGCGCGAGTTTTAGGATAAAAAAAGTATTTATACGTGCGTGTCGCGTAGAAAGCCTCCACGTCTATCTAATTTTGAAAAATATTCCAGCTTTCGTTTAGGTGAAAAAAGATGACTAGAAAATTTTATTTCCAATTTTTTCAAATAGAAAAAAATATTTTTTTTCAAAAACCCAAAGCGGCCCTTTTCCATTATCTTCCATCTACATCAAAATTGCAATTTCTTTTTTATAAAAAGAAGAAGAATTAATGAGCTTCTAAGTTTATGGAAAATAAGCAAAGATGGATTATGAAAAGCAAACTAGTGAATTAGCAAGAGGCAGTTCCTACATTGACATTTAGAATAATATTGATGAAAAATTTTGGGACCTTAAAGTTAGGTGAGGCAATAATGACAATTATGCTGAAGACTCAAATACGAATTTGCAGTTTTTGGTAACTTCATAAGTATCAAAGTGTCGAAAATTGAAGCTAAAGTTTGCTTTAATAATATTTAAAAATCTAAAGTAAAATGCTATTAGTTTGTTGCCACACACATGAAATGGTGGGTATCGGTGATAGGTTTTAGCTATATAGTTAGAATTTAGCAACATTTTCCTAACATTTATCGAATAATTTTTTTTTTGGTAAGTAGTTTTTATCGAATAATTTTTCCGGTTAACTAAACTCCGAAATCTCGTCGTTACTTTAACACGTCCTGTAAATTTTTGGGCAAAAAAATAAAAATAAATCGATCCTTTTCTCTATTGCTCTCGTTCCATTTTGTTCCCCGTGCTTAATTTTGATAACAAATCCGATACCCGAACTAATTTTTGGGTCACGATTTTAAGGCAAATCTCATTTTTTCTGCACAAATGAAAATAAAAATAAAAATTAGATTAGGTGATAAAGAATACAAATGGTCAAAGTGTCATGATTAGTGAAATTCACGACCTAATAGCTGTTCTCCTTAAATGGTCACCGCTTTGACTAATGTTGTTAGATGATATGTCTTGGACAGGTTGGTTTCTCTTAATCTCCGTTTATTTCGCTAAAAATAAATAATTTAAAAAATAAAATTATCTACGAAAATAATTAGACATAAATTTTACTGATCATTTCAAGCGATAATAACGGTCATTTTTTGTAAAAATATTTTTCAAATCATTCATTTTTCGCGAAACGAACGGAGCTTTGACTTAGGTCACTCGTTTTGTATAGTTCATTCCACATTGATGCTCCCATGTTGGTCTCCCGACTTCTTCGGCGATTTCAATATGCATCTCGATGGGAATCTGGAAATATCTCTTCGAATCGGGATCGGAAATCAGTCGGCGGACCAAATCCGTCCCGAAATAAAAAGTACGGCGGACCTCAATTTTCAACGCGTGCGACAGCACGCCGACCGGAGATCGATCGGGAGAGAATTTCCGGCAAACATTCCGGCGATGCCGGAGGGGGTAGGGGCGACGTAATGGGAAATTGGCCAAATTCGACACGGCATTTGGGGCGTGTGAAAATTGCCAATAGTGCTACCGTCACGAGCTCGTCACCGTGGGCTGTGTGGGGGGTGGCGTTCAGGCATTCTAATAATGCACCGTGGAAAATAAAATGAAATAAATAAATAACATGAAATGATTAATAATTAAATAAAAAATAAAAAAGGAGAGAGAAATGAAGGAAATTGGTGGTAGCTTGGCACCGCGAAAGAAAACAAAAGCAAAAGCGTGGGGGTGTTAGCTGGCGCGTCGAAATCCCACGGCGGAATGGGACGGGCGGACCAATGGGAGGGCGCCACCTCAGCAGAACGCGGCATCGAGAAAGGCACGGGGGTGCGTCCACACCAGGACGCTCGCTCGCTCCCTCCCTTCCGCAGCCCCCACTTCACTTGAATGCTTCTCTTCTCCTCTTGCTTTCTTTTTTCTCTTTTTTTTTTCCCTTCGTTTGGGAAAAAAAAAAAAGAGGAAGGAATTTATTAACAAGCGTCTCGAAGGCACGCCTCGGAAAGGGGAAATTTTCCAATTCTGATACCCGGTTACTTTTTTCGGTAATGACGCGTACTGTCGGTGTTCAGGTAATCGGGAATCTTTTTCTTTTAACGGGAGGCATTGCTCGGACGGTATGGTTAGACTTATTACTCATCAATGCTGCGGTTGGTAGGATTGAGGGTATCATCCAATTAGGGGAATGGGTCGCACTCAAATTCGAATTTAAGAATCGTAACCCCATCCCACCTGTCTGACCCCCCCCCCCCAAAAAAAAGACGTTTGGCCGCTTTAACGCGCTGGGGGGTGCGGAAAGTCTTAATACATCGATGACTAAAGGATATTGGGCTTTCGATCGATATTAGCTATATCCGACCGAAAAAGAGTCAATCGCCAGCTCGCATTGTGTTTACCAAATTTCCCAAATCAGCATTCATTCAGGAGACCAATATGAACTTAGAAAGAAATGTCCGGGGCGCAATTCTCGATGGCGGCCCTTAAAAATCGGACCCTAATTTGAAGAGCACAATCTGTGGGAGGAGGGGGGGAGATTAACCATAAACACCTTCAACTGCTCTCACTTAATCCAGATTAAATGCTACTTTAAACCGACCCCTTTCTGTTCAGTTCCTCCAGCCTATCCAACTCCCCTCAGCGAAAACCTCATAATTTAAGCCTACTACTACTCCTCCTCCGCTTTTGCCTCCTCGCGCCTACTACTACGCCACACTCACACGACACGACGCGCATACACAGCTCTGTAATAATTAGCGGGGTTTCTCGCAGGAAAGACACAAACAGAGCGAGCTGGGTTCCACGGGGAGTCCTTTGACATTTCTGCCCGGGTTAAGCCAAGAGAGAGACTCAGATAATCAAAAAAGCGTGTTGCGTTGCGGGAGAAAGTCAGTCTTCTTCTTGACTGGATTCACCACCCCCATCACCACCATCACCATCGTCAGTCGGATCACATTCCCTGCATTCTTTACCAAAAGAACTCTCCTCTCCTCCGCCCCCATCCCCAAACACACCCCTACAGAAAGAGAGAGAGAAATAGCTTATAAATTTCTGGAATAGAGACCACCCAACAATACATCCCTCACCCACATCACACCCCACCTCCTCTCATTCACTCTCACTCTCTCTCTCTCTCACTCTCTCTCTGTCTCTGCAAGAAAAATGCGGGTCCTAATCGATTCCGTTGACCTCCTCTGCTTCCTCCTCCTCCTCTCTGTAAGTGTCTTGCTCTCTCTCTCTCTCACCTCATGATCATCCGTTATGCGACTCGCATTGAATCTGACTGTCTTTCTTTGGCCAATGCAGGTGGGCCTGGCCGGCGCAGGCGCCGGCGACGGAGATTCCCCCGGCAACCCCTTCACCCCGCGGGCCTCCCTCCTCCGGTACTGGAACAAGGAGATCCCCAACGCCGCCCTCCCCAAGCCCGCCTTCCTCCTCTCCAAGGCCTCCCCGCTCGACGCCGTCGACGCCGCCGCCTTCGCCAAGCTCGCCGCCCGCGGCTCCCTCGCCGACCACCTCCCGGCCTTCTGCGCCGCCGCCGGCCTGCTCTGCTTCCCGGACCTGTCCCCGAGCCTCGAGAAGCACCCCACCGACTCCGACTTCGCCGTCTACAGCAACAAGAACTTCTCCAACTACGGCAACGACCGGCTCGGCGGCCTCGACTCGTTCAAGAACTACTCCGACGGCGAGAACGTCCCCATCGACACGTTCCGCCGGTACAGCCACGACTCCTCCGGCCACGGGGACCGGTTCGCCAACTACGGCCCCGGGGGCAATGTGGTCGACCAGAGCTTCAGCAGCTACGGCGGCGGCGCCACCGGGGGCACGGGCGAGTTCAAGAACTACAACCCCGAGGTCAACGTGCCCAACCTCAACTTCAACAATTACGGCTCCGACGCCAACGGCCGGGCCCAGACCTTCACCGCCTACACCGACGAGACCAACGCCGGCGCCGAGAGCTTCAGCAGCTACGGCAAGAACGGGAACGGGGCTCCCAACAAGTTCGCCGAGTACGCCTCCGACTCCAACGTCATCACCTCGGATTTCAACGGCTACGGCCAGGGCGGCAACGGCGCAAACGACACCTTCGCGAACTACGGTAAGGACGGGAACGTCCCGGAGAACAACTTCAAGAACTACGGCGACGGAGGGAACGGGATCAGCGACGGCTTCGCGAATTACAGAGACCAGTCCAATGTGGGCGACGATTCGTTCCAGTCGTACGCGAAGAACTCGAACTCGGCAAAGGTCCATTTCGCCAATTACGGCAAGTCCTTCAACGAAGGCACGGACAAGTTCAGCGGGTACGGCCAGGCCGCGAAGGGGCAGGAGGTCGAGTTCAAGACCTACGGCGTCAACAACACCTTCAAGGACTACGGCAAGACCGGCGTTCGGTTCGCCCAGTACGCCAACGCCACCGGCGTGGCGGCGGCGGCGGCGGCGGCGATGGTCAGTGGCAGGGCCGTGAATAGGTGGGTGGAGCCGGGCAAGTTCTTCCGGGAATCGATGCTGAAGAAAGGGACGGTGATGCCGATGCCGGACATTACGGATAAAATGCCCAAAAGGTCGTTTCTGCCCCGTTCGATCCTGTCCAAATTACCCTTTTCAACCTCGAAGCTCGCGGAGCTGAAGCGGATCTTCCACGCAGGAGACAACTCGTCCATGGAGGCGATGATGGCCAACGCACTGGCGGAGTGCGAGCGGGCGCCCAGCGCGGGGGAGACCAAGCGGTGCGTGGGGTCCATCGAGGACATGATCGACTTCGCCACGTCGGTCCTGGGCCACAACGTCGTGGCCCGATCCACGGAGAGCACGGCCGGGTCGAAGCACGACGTCATGGTCGGGGCGGTTCACGGGATCAACGGCGGGAAAGTGACCAAGTCCGTATCGTGCCACCAGAGCCTCTTTCCATACCTGCTCTATTACTGCCACTCCGTCCCCAAGGTCCGGGTCTACGAGGCGGATCTGCTCGATCCCAGGACCAAGGCCAAGGTCAACCACGGCGTGGCCATCTGCCACGTCGACACGTCCGCCTGGAGCGCCACCCACGGGGCGTTCCTGGCCCTAGGGTCGCGGCCTGGTATGATCGAGGTCTGCCATTGGATTTTCGAGAACGACTTAACTTGGGCGACTGCCGATTGAACGATTTGAAATTATTGGTGGTGGGTCTTGTGGTGTCTGGATTTGATAATTTGCGTCCGGACCATTGGCTAAAAAGAAAAAAAAAAAGACATTTAGCGGCTGGCACGAGCCCATTTTGTAGTTACCTCAAGTAATTTTTATTGGAAAACTATTATCTAATAACTATTCTCACAGGGATTAAAGTCTAAAATTGCGGGTTCTTATCTTTTTCTTGATTTCACTACTCGAATGTGATGAATTCTTTTTCTTTTTATCTTCTGGTGGATTCCTCCTCGATCATTGGAGGGCTTATAGATGATATGAGCAAGAAGATGTTGAATTTTCTGAGTCTCTCTGAATGCTCTCAGCCTCTTCTTACTCTTGATCATTCCTTTGCTGTTCTGTGAAATGTCCTCTCTTGCTTTTGGGTGTTCCCGTAAATCCACAGACTGTAGAGTTATGTGCTTTTGGCTGAGAATGTATTGCCATGAAGGTTGGTTCTGCTAGAGAACAAAAGGCGAGAGAGAAGAGGATCAGATACAAAATGTTGTGAAGCAGTACAGAGAGAGAGAGAGAGAGGTGAGACCAGCCAATCAGCGGAAATGTACAAAGAACTTGTGGCTGAAAGATGGGGTTGGTCCCGATAGCGCAGCCAAAGCTTTGCTGGTGCTGTAATATAGTATTGCGAGAAAAAGAGTCACGAGACTTTTGTTGTTTTGGGGGGGCATTGCAGCATTTTTTGGCCCTTTTGTTCCCATTTGTCAAAGAGAAGATATGCAATTCTTTTGAGGGCTGCGTTTGAGTTGCAACAGAGCAAGTGCAAAGGGACGGACAGATGAGATTCAGACAGGTGTGGGTCTTATGGGGGCTAGCTTATGATGTTTAGATGTGGATGATGGTGCGTTGAGTCATCTTAAGAGTTGGAACATGGCATCACAGTCGGATTAAAAAATGTACAGGTGGTGACTTTAATTTGGTGATTTGTCCTTCAAGATTTGCTTTGTTCTTTCCTCACTTTTAAGACAATGAAAAGGAGAGAAAGGCGCAAAAAAAAGAGAAGGGGACGGGTGGAACTCTGCGACAGCTTGACCAGGGCCACAATAGAAAGAAGAGAAAGTCATAGCGAGGAGATTGCCAAATCTCCGAGGTTTGCTTTGCCTTGTCAGAGCAACATATAGTCATAAACAAAAGTGAAAGAGGGAAGAAGGAACAAAGCCACTGAAACCCTTCAGTCATGCTTCTTGTACATGTCTGCTTTTGTTGAGGATTGTCGCAAACAAATCGCTTATATTAACACCCAGTTTGCGCGGCTCGTCGAGACGTCGGGGAGATTTCCAATTCAGAAGGTCAGAAATCACCTATCCAAACCCCACCAAGGATATGGACTCGATCGGCTCACGAAGTTTGCGGGGTCTCTGCGACTACTAAATAGAAAAAGCTTCCACAAAATTTACACTCTAAACTTCGATGCGATCTTCTTTTTCTCTTTCTTTTTCTTCTCCTCTCTTTTGAATTGTGAAAACAAAAATGGGGGTTGTTTGGTCAACCTTTTCTTAGAGGCAGGTGAGCAGCAAATTTCTCACTTGGAGGGGCATCCCAATGTGCTGCTAATGGGGTCCCAACTTGGAGCAAAGCATGAGCATGTGAATATTAAACTGTGTATCAATGCCTCTGATCCTCATCCAGTTCCACTGCACTGTGCTTTACATGTCACGACTCCTCATGTGATTAATTAATTAATTTATCGGATTTTTTTTTCCTCTCCCAACTACAATAATCGGGGTACTTTCCAAGAATTTGGTGGGGGGTCAATTCGGATTCTCTTTGTAACGACGCCCCTTGTTCGTTAATTCCAGTAGTTAGTGCGTGAACCAAATCCCAGAATCTTATGCTACGTGTGATTGACAAGCATTTGGAAGGAATCCCAAGACGCGATCGCGTGGTCGAGAGCATCATCTTCTTCAACGTTAGTTACATTGGTTAACCCCTGCGTGGTTAAATTAATCCGAGGGTCGTTGATGGAATTGTATGGTCCGTCCATTTGAAGGAAAACGGTTTTCAGGGGAAATTGTTTTCCGACTCTATGGTGTTTGCATGATGGAATTCTAATCGATTTATGAAGAAAGTTTTTCATGAACTGAAAACAACGAGCTTAAATTTAGGGAAAACGACTTCTCCTTTTTTTAAGAAGGAAATCACTTTCTCTAAAATTATCAAATAAATGAAAATTAAACATTTTCCTCGAAAAATTATTTTCATGGTAAATATTTCTATATCTCGAGGCTCTGTTTATTTCGCGGAAAATGAATGATACAGAGAACATTTTTCTCAAAATGATCGTTTGTGTTGCTTATGAAAATGAATGGACTTCCATTAATTATTTAAAGTGATACAAGCAATCATTTCTAGGAAAACATTTTCTAAATAATTCATTTTTTCTCGAAACAAATGAAGTCTAGAAGTATGATCGCAACCGTTGAATTTCAATTATTGCCGGTATTTCTAATTGTGCAATGCTTATGGTACTAGACTTACGAAGAAATGGACAACCGATGGCGATGGTGGTCATCTCTTTTGCCCATTGAATGTATCTACAATTTGCAATAGCCAAATAGGTCCTCTTTAGCCATCAAACTCTTCGGCTTAGTCCCTTTCTTCTTTTTTTTCATAATTTCATAACACCATAATTGTCTCAACAAGAAATCTTAAAGCTGCCTATCCGAACCCTCTCGTTGCTTCTCGATCTCAAAAGACCCCGATTCGTCGGCATAGATTATGCTTATGCACCACTCGTAAGGATCACTGCAAGCTTTACTGCAACTCGCATTTGGTGGTGCGGCGGCGATAAATTCGCTCGAAATAACCAGTAACTATAACCGATCCGGAACATTCAATTGTAAAGAGGATCGCTCCTCTTTACCCTTGTTACTCTAAAAAAAAATTATATAATATGAATGCCCGTCCAAAAAATCAAAGCAAAGCATGGTGGGTACTATTTTTTAATAGTTCAAATTGTAATTTAGAAGATGAAAACATAGGAAGAGACGCATCGGCAACAGAGACACGCATCCACACGTGAGCTTATAATTCCATCACGGGATTTCTTTGCTTGAGCCACTACTAGGTAGCTTTACGTAGTAAACAATTTTTTAGCGTCATTAATATAAAATAATTTAATTTTCAATGTATTAATTATACATAAAAAATTTATATTAATAATTACATCCTTTTAAAAACCATTTTAGAGCACTCATAAACAAAACACTGATATATCGTTTATGCAATATGATATCAACCCGTGCAGAAGTAGGCCAATTAAGTATCATAGTATTTGAATTTTAAAGGGAAAATGAGCTTGAGTGCATATCTTGCAAACATTATAGTTGGTATTCGTTACACAATGTCCTCCTGTTGTAATATATAAAGAGGACCTTACCTAGAAAATGAATATTGAATATATCAATTTCCCGACGATATCACGGACAAAATCAATGAAAAATTTAATAAATTCATTGTACCTCTTTTCTCGTGATATTGATTGCAAGCCGTGCAATATTTTCTTGGACTATAATTAATTTCATTTCATTAGAATGATCCAAAATAATGCTAATTTATGTGTACTTTTGAAATTATCATAAAACAAAATTAAGGTTGTGATTGGACATCTAGATCTGCTCGTAATATAATCATTACAGAAAAAGGGTGTCGAAAATGTAGAATATGCAAAAAAAATCGATATTTTTAGTAGATGTTACGAAATTATTTTCTTATGAAATATTTGAATTATCGATTAATGAAAAAAATAATTCACCTAATATAACCAAATATCATACATATATTCTAAAAAAATACTTCAAGATCCGAAGCTCTTTGCTATAAGATCTTACAAGATGGATTAGATTCAAATTTCAAAATGAAACACATTAGCCACAAATATAATTATTAATTCGCACAATTGTCCATTGTTAGAATACTTATGCAATAAACAATTTGAGGGTATTTTTGAGAAAAGAAAAAAAATAGGACTGCTATCCCATAAAAAATATAATAGACACCCTTTATTTTATACAACTAGTATAAATAATTTTCTTTTAAAGCCACTTATTTTTCTAGCTAGCTTAGGCTTTTCAGTCAGAGATATCATTATTAGTGGTTATGATTAGCATGACTTTATCTTCTTTGTATTCTTATTTTTGTCATTGGGATTCTTACTACGATATTAAACAACTAATAAAAAATTTAGTTATTCCGAAAAATGAAGGGTAATGATGAGGAAGCTTGTCGTTTATTCACTTTTGCCAATAATCAACGTTATCACTTCTCCAATTTTTTTAAATGGGAAAGAGCACACAGGAGCAAGAATACAGCCTAAGCGCCCGCACTCAAATTTGGTGGATTCTCTAATCATAGGATCCACTTCCTACAAGCAGAGAAGCAACGACATCATTAAGTGAAAATTAGGAATAAGCATGATTCTATGGTAGAACCTAGAATCGAAGAGTCGGATCAATGGAAACTTGTCCGGTTTCAGGTTCCAACGTATGCAAGGTAGTTTACAGGTTTCAAAAATTGGGAAATTTGTTTTGATAGGTAGGTTCAAGGTTCTATGTATTGAAATTTGAAACAAGTTTTTGTGTTTTTCTTGGTTTATATTTTCGTGCGATCACGTAGTATTCCATGGCGTCTAATGATAAGTTTATAATTTGGGACCACTAGTTTGAACTTCCATTTTATTGCTAGACTTTTTTTTTGTTAATGTTTTATATTTTTCGCGTGTCTAAATATAAGTTTTGATTAGTGGATCGTAACAGCAAATGGTAGTCATTAAAGGTGATAATTCACTGTAATTATTCAATTAATAATATATGTAGAACTTGGGTAAATCCTGGAATCGACCCTACTAGGGTATGCAAGGTAGGTTTCAAATTCCAAAAATTCCAAATGGAACCCGTACGAAACCCGTTGGAACATAGAACCGCTTACCCTTAGTGAAAATGCAAAAAACACTTTTATACTTTCCCATCAAAATATAAAACATTTTTCAAATTTCAGAAAATCATAAAAAAAAATTATGTGCGGAACTATGTATCGACATTTGAGCGTCGTGAGAGTTTTGGATCAGATTTGAAAAACCAGTCAACCAGCAAGACGTGCAAAAATTCGAATTAAGTACAGAGAAGAAAGTAAAAGCCAATCCAGACGAGACTTTGCACTATCTAATTCTTTTAATGTACACGATGCGCCTTTCCTAGTTTCATTTTATATATTCGGCCTGATTTCACTCCGAAGTTTAGAAAAAAAAAAGAAAAAAACTACCGTTTTATGTTATGGAGTACAATATGTCAGACTGTAGAAGATGTAAAAAGGTCGGTTTCCTTTTCTCGCGGGACCTCGCGAAACTGGTTAAATAGTTAAAGAGGCGGATCACTACTAAATGTAAACAACAATTTTCCAAGTGCTCGCGTGGGAAGTTTGTATCGATCTTACCTTATCCATGAGGTTAGTGGGACATCTCGGTATCCGAGGTTTTTGCCTATCAAAAGGGGTGCCTCGTCACGATAAAATGTGTAGGCTCCTTTTGAAATCTTCGATATTATATACTATAGGATCCTGAAATTAATGGCGTAAAGTGTAGGTTTTAATATTAGTTAATGCAAATTTTAACAGAGTGTGAAATTGGGGAGGTTTACTGTGATTTAGAAATAGCCTTGAATAAGCATTGGCTGCCAAATCTCTCGCAGGCTTGGTAATGGTTTTGCTTTCATTTCCTTATATTTCTCCTCATTCAAATCGCCTTATTAAATGATGGTAGAGGCGGAATTTGATTAATCTTGTTTTTAAGCAATTCTACACACGTATTGAGATGGGACTCTTAAATCAGTGTATCAAAGCAATGTGACGGATTATAAGGGGACGTTCAAATAAGTTGAGACCATATTCTCCATCCAATAACAGTTTATCGGTCTTAAAATAAACATAGCATTTCTCTTTGTTCTTGAACTAAAAGCTCTAGATAATTTGCTGATAGGTAATTCTACGACTCGCAAGCACTTTTGCTTTGAAATATTCGACCAACTTCGGAGCATGTGCAATATTTGCTCTCTTGTTTCAATATGTTTCTCTTCCTTTTTATCTTTCGACAAATCACAAATTAGACCACTTTTATAAGGCTCCGTTTGTTTCGCGGAAAATGAACGATTTGGAAAATATTTTCCTAAAAATGATCGCTTGTATCACTTACAAAAATAAACGAATGAAAAATATTTTCATCATCAACGAATATATTTAGATATAAATTGTTGTTGGTAGGGAAAAAAACTTTCATCGACTAATTATGTTTAATGAAATAAATGATTATTTTCAAGAAAATATTTTCCGAATCGTTCTTTTTTTTTAAAGAAACGGAGCCAAGATATTTTCTAACTTTGAAACCTTCGGTTGAAGTATAATTAAGGATCGAGATCCTCTCCATTTAGGAGGGAAGCCGAGTGGATAACCCATCAGGCCAAAGGGAAAATTGCAACATATCACCAAAATGTCAAGGGCTAGATTGCAAAAAATCGAAAGGGAAAATGATACAAATGGTTCATGAATTTTGGCTCAACGTGCAATGTGGTCCCTGGACTTTTAATTTATTTTATGTGGTCTCTGAACTTTAGCCCAATGTGTAATGCCGCCCCTAGACTTTTAATCTGTCCGATGTAGTCCCTAGACTCTCGGTACATGTTCGATTTAGTTCGCGGACTATATAAAAATGTTCAATGTTGAATTTGAAGTAATGGAATGACAACATCGAATATTTTCATACAGTTCAAGGACTGCATTAAACATATATTAACAGTCTAAGGACTACATTGAACAAATTAAAAGTTGAGAGACCACATTGCACATCGAACCAAAATTAAAAGATCATTTGTGTCATTATCCGAAATGCCGGGGTGGCAACTTGTGATGAACCAAAAAACTTGGGGGTGCAAAAATATACTCGGGCTTTCTTCGGTCTCTCTTTCACTTCGTCGCCCAGAACAAGCCCGTCGTCGCGCCTAGAAGAGGCCAAAGCCCAGAAGAAGCCACAACCCTCCTTCCCTCTCGGATCTTCTTCCTTCGTCGTCGCAGGTCTCAGCGGGTCGGCTCCGAAGAAGGCGAGCATGGCGGCTACCTGCGCGAAGACGGGTCTTCGGCTCACCTCTGCTTCTGCTAAAACGCTCTTGACCCGTTCGTCGTCGTCATCTCCTTCTTCGTCTAGTTTGTCCTCAGCGACGAGTAAGCTCAGAGGTCTTTCTTCTGCAGCGCCAGTCTCCTCCTCCTCGCGTTTCTTCACTGCCCGACGAGTCGGCCTCTCGAGGTTAGTAATGTCTTTGATCTCGGTTTGCGGGTTTGTTTGTTTTCTTTTTTTGGGTGCGGTGATTGATGCATTGGACAACAGAAGAGTTGGGACACTGGTGGTTTCAATCGTTAAGGCTCATTTTTTTTTGGTGCATTTCGAAATTCACTCTCGATGGAGCGTGATGGGTTGGATGAGAAAGTTTAGTTTCAATGGAGCTGGCGCGTCTTGGTGGACTACCAAGTCAATTGAATCGGAGTTTGTTCTGTCAACTTGGAGATTGTTGGCGAATGTTCATCATCAGATGTTGCTTTTGTCTCAGGCTTCCTGTGGAGTTGGGAGGTGCATTGTCGATGATGCCGTTACACAGTGTTACGGCGTCTGCTTTGTTCACCTCGTTGCTGTGTTTGAGCCGTCACAGTTGGGGTTGTCTATCTGAAGGTAATTTCTCTACTCTCACTGCTGGGTTTAAGCTGTGTTTGTGGCGTTTTTCAATTCACTGAGCGTCTTCATTCTTGTTCTTGAAGTACTTGTATTGTCCCATAATATCACGAATTTCGTCCTGAGATGTTTCAGCTTGGCCTCTGTTTCTTCTTTTATATTGTAGCTAACGTTTAGTGGTTTACACTACCGTGTCATTCATGATGCATGTGCTAAAATATTTAGTGAATCGGACTCTGCCCGGATATAGGAAAGGTTTTTCCTTGAAATGTGGTTTGTGCTTGTGTGTCTGCCGCACACTACGAAGTAGTTGGAATTTAGATTCATGGGTCGTATTTATCATAGATGTGGAGGACCGTGTGTCATCTTCTGTTTCCATAGCAGGACGACATGGAACACGTGCCTTACACGAACATGTATTGCTCTTGTGCTTTCCGTATGGTGAAGTACATATCTTGGCAAGTAGGATTCCATAAACATTGTGGCTGAAGCCTGAATCCCCATTTTCTTTTTCCGAATTATTTTGTTTATTATGCCTCGAGGATGCTTAGCAAGGTTTTAAATTTTGGTAGTGGTCATAGAAGTGGTCGCGTGACTCATATCATGATTCCTACGAAATGTTTGCCAAAATTTCAGACGCTGTGTGCTGATGCATCGCAATGCAGCTTATGCTGTATTCTGTGAAAATGATATAGAATCTTAATGTTTACTCAGTGATGGGGTTTCTAGAATGTTCTTTTTTTTCATCTGACAAGTATGAGAGTGACAGATTTCATGTCTTTGACTTTGGTTTGAATGATATACTCAAAAAGAAGAGAGGGTAGAGATACAAGTATCGAATAATATTGTGATGACCATTACAAATGAGGTTTTGCTTCTTTTGTCATGCTTTGGCTACAAAACAAGTTGAAACGATGCAGCCAATTTCGGTTACTCTAGGTAGTCATCATTGGTATCCTCTATTTATTTAGAAAAAGGTTATTCTGGAAAAACAGGACAACTAGTATTGTCACATTGTTTCCATGATCACTGTCCTGTAACTTCTAGACCTACAGTGCCACTGTTTCTCTGTGACATGCAAATTTCATCTGGAAGCCATATGACAGCTGGTAGCAATGGCGCTACCCTCCACTCCCCAACTATGTTGTAATGGTCTTCATTGCACTACTGCTTGGTGGTCGAAAATTGGAAACTCTGATGAGTTAACTTGCCGATACCAAGAGCAAAAAATAGACACTGTCTTATCTAATGTTTTTCTTCCCTTATGGTTTTCTGATTCCTAGCTCCTACAAGCAATAGAGCTTACTCTTCATATTACTGCCTTTTGTTAGTCAGTGATAGGTTCCACCAATTATATGCTACTTGAACTTGTTTTTTGTTCAATGTTTGCAGGTTTTACCACACCTCTATAACATGGCAGCGTATTTTTCTTCTTCCGAGTTTCATCAGGTTCATGGGGGGCATTAAGACTGTCGATTTTGCTTAAAGATGTTTACTCCTGTCATTAGTATCCAGCCTTTTCAGATTGCAACAGTAATAACCACATACTTACCCCGTCATTACACTTGTTTTGAGCTCTTCTAGGGGATAACTTAAGAGAAGGGAAAAAGAGCATGCCAAAATTATTTTGCTCGGAGGGTTCGGTTTTTCCAGTATTATTTGATGCTTCCAGAATATTGATAGTGTTTGGTTCTTTTCATTTGTCACCCCTTTCTATCTCCGCTACAAAACACCATGTGTTCTTTTTTTGTCTCATAAAAAGGTGCGTGATGAAGGCTTAAGCTATCTACGTGCAGAAGTTTGTCGTTTCATATACCTATGAACTAAAATTCCTAGCCGGCGACCTGCTTCTGATCATTTAAACAGTGTAAGACACACTGTGGCATAAACTGTACAACTGCTACTGTACTGATCATATAGAAAACATGTCCATACTTGTAAACACTTGCTTTTGTATGTAATTAATCAGATAGGAATACGCGACGACGTGTTAAGCATCGACAAGCGGTTGGCTGTTTCTTCCCCTCCCAGCTGCGATGGTCATCAGCATACCATCTTCTCCGTTTCCACGATCTGCTTTTTTTCTCCATTCTCGGCCAAGAAACAGCCAAAAGACCGTAACTTGAATGAGCAAAGCCGTGACTGAATCTCCATAGAACTGTTCGTATAGAAACACAAAGCATGGGTCTTGAGATGGAGAGATGCACGGTGGATTCGGACAAGTTTCGTGGATGTCATAGTTTTTCTCGTTCTTTCCCACTCCGGATGTGGAAAGATAGGACGTTATATGAGAAGCTCCATTGGATGGTTGCGACATCATGATCCTGTCGATTGAAGTTGACGTATGCTGGTGGCGTAACGGTCCAGCGATGAGGGCTGGCAAGGCTGAGAGTGCAATTATTCAGTGAATCTAGTACATGCACTCAAATGAGTTTGGATCAATTGATAGATCTTGTTTTTGACAAGTGCGGGCTGCCACACCTACGCTGTGCAAGAGGTAGAACAAAAGTCAGAGAGTGAAGAGAATTAGAGATAGGAAAAACAAAAAAAATTATTCATACTTCAAAAAATAATTAAAATGTTGTAGGTGAATTTACGCGTCGGCTTTTGCATTTTGTGGAAATATTTAAGCATTTCGGATGTAAGAAAAGTCAAAGTGCGTGGGCGGTGAGACTTTGCATTCACAACACACGAACTCTTTCTATAGCTGTAGGTATAACTCTTTCTATAGCCGAAGGTATAAAATACGTCGTACGTCACTAGATTTCAGTTTCTCGTATATATCAAATCTATAGGGGAAGGATTTCTCCACATATTGTTTAACAAGAACTCCACGTGCATTTACCATAGTTATCTCGTGAAATTTCTTTTCAGGGCATGCTCCACTTACTTTATATACATATATGTGATCACCCATAAAGATGTGATTAATATTTTGTTTTCCTTCTCGTCGTATTCTTTTTCTTTTTATGATTTCTATATCAGAAAGAACAGACATATTATATCTTAAAATAATTTTTCAGCTAAATACATGCTCGATAGATTTTATTTTTGCCCATTTAGAGTAAGAAGTCAATTGTTCTCTCCATGTTCGGTGCAAGAAAAACCGAAATAAGAAACCACCAACTCACGGATTATTAATTTGCCTAAAAAGACGAAGGCTGATTTGGTTGGTTAACTTCAAAAAAAAATTTGTCCTTCAAGCGAAAAAAGAGGCATGGATAGACAAGTTCATCAATGGCACGGCCGAGGCCAATGTCTAACATCATTAAACTTAACTCATCATATAAATATGTGTGTGTGTGTTCCTATGCACGACGAATTATTCATTCACTTTTTGATCGAGATAATAGACTTTCGACTTTCCTATGGTCCGAATATTTTCTCCATATTAATTACCGTGTCGCGAGTCATTAGAGTTAACAAAAGCAACATACGTGATATTCTCAAATAGACCTAGAAATGATAAAGGGAACAAAACGTAATATTCTCAAATAAACCTCACCAAAGATTTGGCAAACCTTACCATAGATACCACAGTTATCAAATAGAGAGACGCAGGACATGATCACAGAGGAAGTTGGAGCTCCGTCGCCATGTATTGTTTTTGGATGCAAGCCAGGCACTCGTGGGAAATCGACGGAAGCGATCTCTACGTGAAGGAAGCGATTGCCTTCGGGGGTTTCGGGACCGTGTTCAGAGGAACTTACAGAGGCAGAGATGTCGCAGGTTGTCGTGAATACTATGCTTTTTTTCCTCAATGCATGTAATTTAAGTGATGGGGTACCTATATACATGATATGATTATCTTTGTATCGTGTAATTGATAGGTTTGATCGTTGATTAGGTGGATGATGAATGTTTTTGAAATTTGAAGTTCAAGAAACCGATATTGCATTCAATGCATTTGAACGTACTGATGTATGCAGAGTCTAGCTTAGTCTAAGAACAATTATCATGTACGGTTAGAAATCTTTGGGATGGCTTATCAATTGATAAATTCTTTGATTCCATGAAAACTTTCAGTCAAGTTTCTAGATGGAAATTCAGGGGGTCGATCCATGTTTCATCGAGAGGTGTCCTTTTGGCGCAGTCTCGACCATCCTAACATTGCTAAGGTAGCTCTCTCTCTCTCTCTCTTTCCAAATAAAATTCACTGTTCGAGGAGCGGGTGATTATCTTGGCATCGTTACCCGACTTTCTTTCGTTCGAAACCTGCTGCTCTTCTTCCTGTCATAAACTAGTAATTCTGACATGCTCTAATCAGTTCATTTTCCTCAGTTCATAGGAGCTACATATGATACGTCGCGTGTCAGATTTAGAGGGGCGAGGCTGATGAATGTATGTTGCATAGTCTCTGAGTATTATCCAAGAGGTAGCTTATCTGATTACCTTTCGAGGCACCGGAGGCTCTCCGAGGACGTCATCAGAAGATTAGCGCTCGATGCGGCGAGAGGGTCGAAATCTTACCCTCGCTAACAATTTTCAAATGGTGTGTTTCATTTGAAACCTTTCTCAATTTGTGTTCGACTGACCCCTGTGGATTTAGCTTCTCTCACTCATAGGTTGAGCTACCTTCATGACAAGGGAATCATCCATGGAGATGTGAAGCCATCCAACTTCCTCGTGGATTCGAATGGTACCCTGAAAGTTACCGATTTCGGCCTATCTCATAGAGCAGCTTATTATGGTTCGTCCGAAGTCGGCGGGACCATGCGTTACATGGCCCCCGAGGTATCGACTTAAATGTAATTCACTTCAATGAGAGTTCATGACTTAAAATGCCCGGTAAGTGTTTTGTGTCCGATATCAGGTCATCAAGGACGGGACGTCCAGCCTGAAAGCAGATGTCTACAGCTTCGGGATCACCCTGTGGGAGATTTGCCACAACAAGATGCCGTTCTACGACGTGAGATCCGAGTTAATCGATCAAGCGATTTACCATCATGTAATCAGCTGTGCTCGGTGACTTGGATACTGACTCATATACTTGTATAGCATAATTAGCTTGGAATCGAAATGGGTTGCTCACGAGTTCGGTTGGTTTTTCAAAAACTTGCAGAAGGTGAGGCCGTTTATATCGAAAAAATGCCCGAGCCAATTCGTGCGCTTGATGACGAAGTGTTGGGATGCAAACCCGCTAAAGAGACCGAGTATAAAAGACGTGGTGCTCGAGTTAATCCCCTGAAGATGCTGCCCACATAGCCCAAGAGGAACAGAAACATGTTCGATGACTGGGTTTAGCTGTTTGTGTAACGAGGGCATATCTCTCCTTGCATCAATGCTAGAAGTGATCTTCTTTTAATGAACACGACGGAGACAGAAATCGAGAGATAATCTGTTGAATTTGATTGTTTCGGGTCTTTTGCCTTTCGGCATCGACTATTCGATTGTGATAGAGGACCTCTCTTGACAAAAATCTTCAAATCTGCAAGAAAGTTTCGCAAAATTTGTCAGTTGCATACACAATAATGGCTACTTGGTTGCTATCTGTAACTGAATTGAGTCTGATGATAATTTCTCTTTTGAAGGTACGTTGCATATTTTCTTAGCTGATGCTTTACACAGGCACTCTTTTCAAGTATTCCCACAACATTATTCTAAAATTGAGCCTGGTCACGTTTGTATTGAAGACCTGATTTTTTGGAATCCAAAACTGTATTGAATGAACTTTACGGAAGTTATTCCATGTGATAATGACGTGCCGATGTAACGAACCAACAAAAATTGAGTGGTTCCAAAATTGCGTCACATTTAATCAAAGGCATACTAAGCGACCAACTTAATTTGTTAGTCACGCTGTGTTAGCCGTGTGACTGATACATCAAATACTTTTCTCCCAACTACAGCTCGATCGATCTGAAATTCTCTCTAGGAAAACCACTTTGTAACCTGATTGACTCAATTAACTCAAACGCGATCGACTCGATCAATTATAACTATAGAGAAGGATCTAGTAAACGACATTGCAAACGAAACATCGAGTTTTCTGTCTTTCCACGTCTTTCAAGCAAAGCGATTTCATATTTCCTTATAACTGCAATCAAATTCCAAAACACACTAAATCACGGACCTATAATTATATATGCTTGTGCAATACGATGGTTAATCTAGCATTCCCGGCCTTAGGAAACTCTTCTAAAGTCAACCTTAGTCACAACATTCATAATGATTTTAGAGTGAGAAACTCATAGAAACAAAAGCTCTAGATTTCAATTACTTGTGATATGATACAAATGAGAGGAAAAGATCCTTCTGATTACGAGGAGATTTCATCTCTCCATCTACCAACTACCAGCATTAATTACAAAAACGCTCTAGAATAGTGTGCATTTCACATATTGCCCTCAAGAATACTATAGAGTACTCAAGAAATCCTAGGCCCTTAAAAGCTTCAAGACTCACCCGATCATTTGGGTCACTTCCTCGATCCATCGTGCCTCGAAACCCCTGGACCGTGACACTTGATTCTCATAAAAAGAATACAAAAATTAGATCAGACCAAATCCTCAAGACTTAATTGCCGGTACTTAAACTGGCTGGTGCCCTTAATTTGAGGCCGAGCAATAAAACTTCTTGACATTTGACTTCCATCTAAAACAGCAAAGGATGAGGAACCCTCAAATTATTATGAACGGTAAACATCCAATGTTGAGCTCCACCAGAGAAAAACAACTGAATGAAATCTAAGCAATATTCCGCGATAAAATGTCCCAGTTTTTCTTTACAAGTCGAGCATGTCTTCAAACTGCCCAAAGCTTACATGCCCAATAAAATTTGGTTGGGGATACCCCTTACGTCTAAATGATAAGAGACAGAATCTCTTTAGCACCATCTATATGTGAAAATTCAGAACATCGCGTTATCCTCCTGTACAAGAGCATGAACAATATGGTACTTGCAAAAAATGGATGAACCAAGGAACACTCGATAACTGGGTCCCAACAGGTGCCCCCTCTTCTCTGAAATTCTGTATTTGGACAATTCCAGGCTATACAAAACTGATTCCGGATATCCTGTACAGCAGAAGATGTTAGTTCGATAAGTAGATGAAGGAAACTAGGACCGAAGCATTTGGATCGGCTCTGTCAGTTGCCCCCAATCAAATGTAAATGATCAAGGATCTTTGATGTCCACACACTCTGCCACTGCCGGGGCTTCATCTGAGTCTGAAGAACCCGAAGCATGTTGACCCTCTGTTGAATCTTGAAATTCTTTCACAAGTAAATTCTGGATTTTCACTCTCAAACCAGAGGCTTCTTCAGGCTTGAACCACTGCTTACCAAACTGAAAACAGAAATGTAAATACATAAATAATGAGCTGAAAATGTTTGCCACAGGTGAGACGAGAACCTCCAGATGTTCATGAATTCCTAAGAGAGAAATCAGAAAGAAAATCCTGTACCATAGCTAAATCCTTCTTTTTCAGCCTATCAGGAGCTTCTTCAGTGAAGCGTTCCATGAAGTGAAGTACGAAGAGACCACAATCATAGTCATTTTTCTGTTGAGGAACCTAGGATGAGACAGAAAAATTATAAAAGGACAAGTCAATCGATAAACAATTTAGAAAAAGTAGGTACCGTCTAAGTTGTAGAAATCGACCCAACCAACTCTCTCGTCCCTTTTATCTTTCTTTTTTTCAAAAGAAACTCCCTAAGTATATATACCCAATTTTAGATAACGGCACACGCTCCTGCAACACCAATGGTTGGAATCAAGGGCTTTCATATTGACTTGGAACAAGTATCATCCACCAAGGAACAGAACCCTGAATTGCAACTTCCCATTTGCTGCAATGAACTATCCCAGACATATTGATGCTTTCCAATTTTGAGAGATTGTATTATTGCCCCTATATCATAACAATCTCCAATTTGTAGTTATTATCAAAGCTTTATGCCTTTTCTACACAGAACGATTCCAGTGAATTTTACATTGAAGAACGGACACTTCTTTTCTAATCACTGTTCTAACCCACGTCACTGTAAATAGCAGAACAGCACAAGCATGAAAAGATTATTGAAAGGTAATCTGGAAAGATATTTACGGCAATTATCTTGTCACCAATTCTATCAGGGAGCACCTCCCAAATCTCTTCTTCAATTAGAAGATCTGAAGGAGCAACTTGTTGCCTCAGATAACTCCATTCTTCAACCAAAAAGCTGCAGAAGCATACTAGGACCTTAGTAAATCGATAAAATATATGCAGACATCCACATAAACAATGGAAAGTATGAACATGGTCCAAATCTAAAACAAAGTACCACTTCCACGTATACAGGAGCTAAGTATAATAAAGTGGGAGATAAACCAAACTCAAAAATTATATCATGCAAATCTCAACATACTTCCAGATGTATTGTGGGCTTAACATGGACATTTTGCTTCGAGAATCTGTATTAGTGTCAATTGTACACCACTGTTAGTCAACTTCACGCATTCATGCAAAGATTGTGAAATGCAATATGGAAGAACCATCTGGCCAGGAAAAAAAAAGGCGCGGAAGAACCAGTGTACATCTCGCACAAATGCCAACATTTCTGCTATGACTTAAAGGTATCTTAGAAACAAAGGATCCGTTGATTCAGAATATGGCCACACAAAATTCAAATGCGCTACCTACACTGAGGGTAACAAAATAAGTCCACAACATATTGTTTAAGTTATTGCCACTACCGAGAATTCTTAAAACTTCTCGGTCAACCTCCAGCAAGCGAGACAACAACACTCATCTCACAAAACTCTACGGAAATTGATATCTCTCTACTACATTGTTCTTATGACTTAGACCAAGGATCATAAACCAATGCTCTCTCTGCATTTGGGAAATGGCATGTACTTCATATTAGATGGCTTCCATACTTCAACTACAAATATTTTGGCACAAAAAAAGCATGAGATGCCACTTCATCTGGAAAATCTGAACATTTTCAATGATGCATCAACCACAGGATTCTTTCAAGCTCACCTTCTAATGTAATCAAAAATTGATCTACTACGATGAAGCCGAAGTGAATCAAGATGAAGTATAATAGGGCCAGAGTGACAATCCTCGTCAGGAATGCAGATAATTGCCAAGCTCCAATGAAGGCTGACAGGATCAAAGGAGATGCATAAATTAGAAATTTCACAAAGTAGAATGTGAAAGAGCAATAATGGGGTCAAGCTACTTCAGTTGCTTCCTCAGGCTCCAAAACGCCAATCACCTAGATAATTTAAATTAGATGCACCAAAGAACGAACAAGTGGCACCATTTAAGCCCTCATGCAATTTAGAGTAAGAAGAATAGGAAATAATGCATAAATCCACATGTATATTAGCAATTTAAAATTAAATAACTCGAACTGAATATAAATTCTACTGTTGAATGCTAATTTATACTTCGGCCCAAGATCGTCCTACTACATTAGCAGCACACCATTTAGACAATACATAAAATGATAGTGGACCAGCAAATTCTCTTTGTTAAATCATCCTACATCTCTTCTCTATGGGATTTCAATAGGCCTTATACCACGTAGTGTCCCCCATTTATCATTTTAAACTTTTTGGTTAGACATTCTAACATGATAGCAGAGCCAACTTCCGCCTCTGGTTTATTTCCGCGTGAGGCTCTCCCTATTCGTCAATTCCACAAGTCGTTCTCAGTCCAATTTGTACGTCAAAGAACGTGTTAAAGCTTCCCACATCGCTTGTCTATGGGGTTTCCATGGCAACATATTCATGTAGTCTCCCTCCACCTATCAGTTTAAGGTTTTGGGTTGGACATTCTAACAATTTTATTGGAACACAGATTATTTGGATGCTGATCATGTAGTTTCCCTGTTTGTAATGTCCTTCACTTTGGACTTATAACTGAAATTGGAGAGAATCTCATATCCTATCCGCCCTTGTTGTGAAGAGGCTATGCTGGCCTGGACCACTCAAACTCATTTTTCAGGAACTGACTCAATTATGTGAGATTGCCAACAACCATATTTCAAATATGCGCAATGTCCAGCCACAATAATAACCAGAGTTTTAATTTCGCATTAGTCTTCTTTCTCTCTTGTACCTTTCAGACAAATCCATTTATCTATACTATCTTTACACTGCCGGACAGGTTAGCCGTGGCATGCTGCTCACCATGAAGGGGACAGGTCTAGGGTGGTCTTTATGTCTTCAACACAGAAAATTATGCAGGAATCATCACAAAAGTCAAATGGATGGAAAGAACCAAATTACCAAATTCTTATTGTCACTAATCTAGATCCAAAAGTCTTAGAGAGTTCATTAAAACACATGGGCAAATGGATATTATTGAGTTTACAGGTGAGTTTCACTTTCATGACTCATTAATAATAATCCTTCTTTTGGCTGGCAGACAAAAACTATTTGGGGCATCCTTAGCCATGCGATAAGTTTCATGACTCATCACTACTAATGCTTCATTCTTAGGTAACTTAACCTCAAGGTATATCCATGGTACAGCTTTCATGACTTGTTACTACTAATGATTGTTTCTTATTTAACTCAACCCTCAAGCTACTAATCCAACCTGTTGGTATTGCAAATATTAAAGGCTGAAACGACAGTTCTTGCAACCAAACATCCAACCACTGGTACTGACGCTCGACCTATGTATCAAGAGAGGTCTAATCTATCTAGGACTCAGTTTTGACAATCAGAACCACATTGAAGTACTAGCATCTTGTGCATATCTTCCTTAAGAACCTGTTAACCAACAACAAAGAGCCTTTACAAAAATCTAAGCAGCAAATTGTAGAAACCTTATTGAAGATACAAGATTATTGAACTTACTCCTCATGTATTGGTATAAAGACATAAGCCTTCTGAAATATGTTCACGCCCTTCCACCACCTTCTAAACTTAACAAAAAGGGCATCTTTCTCCTTTCCCTGCTTATCACATGAAAATCTTTCATAGGATAATATATAGAAACAATAGGGCACCTGAATGCCTATATGAAAGAGCAGATGTCATCATTTCACTAACAAAGAGGGCATTAACCCGAAACAATAATGTGTGGAAAAGGATAAAGAAACTAGTAGGCACCCATACAAGAACTAATGCTCACCTAAGTACCAAAAATCAGTACAAAATTTGGTGTAAAAAAAAAAAGCACTCGAACAAATAGCATAAATATATCTTGTACAAAAAGCCTCCATATTGCTTTAACCAAAGATAGTACAGTCAACGCATAGAGTTAGTACAATCCAATCAACCACAAAGCATGGTAGAAATAATAGATGGACATTCATTCTTCGCAATAAATCCATCAAGAGGAGAAACTGAGGAAAAGGTCACCTCGCATGATAATGCCTCTTGGAGCTTCTTGTAGAAATAAGTATTAAAGAAATGATAATCATGTATTCCTTTATCCGACTCCAAAGCTTGCTGTTGTAGGTATCTAGCCATTAAACCATCAAGAAATTAGTACCAAAATAGAAGGTAACAGATATCACCATAATATCTAGGCAGAAAATCTACACGGCAGAATAGCAATAAGAGGCTATAAAGATTAAAACCACAAATAGGTATACATAGAGAGGACTCATAAAGGAAGTTTGAAGAATATCTGGGAATTATGCATAATTACCGATAGATACAACCAATCAAACAGACCTAAGATAGGAAAAAGAAAAAGAAGTAATGATATTGCTAAATGCCCTGGGGGAACAGCCAATCCTAGGCCTATGCTACGCCAATAACAGCATATGTTTCCCTCCAAAGTTCAAGATTTTGGTTAATTCTGTGGATATCGATAACAAAGGCAACGGAAGTCAAGGAATGTTCTCTCTTTCTTTTCTTTGCTTAATGTGTTTTTCCCTTTTTTGACTTAGAGCAAATCTAAATTTGTTAGAGATACTTACAGAATGTAAAAGTTCATGATAGGTGACGTCAAATAATGCTCGGGAGCAAGGCATTCTATGTCTGCATAACAAATTTCAACGGATTGTGGATCATACCTGGCAAGAGATAATGACAAAAGTTATCTCTAAGTGATTAATGGCAACATTTTCAATAAGAAGAAGAATCAGATACCTTGACGGATAGTAGATTGTAGCGTCTTTCATACTGAAAAAGCACAAAAAAGTCAAATTAATAATATTTCCCACAAAACTTGCCTCAAATAGTAGACACAGAGGAAAAAATACTGGAACAGTTCAATTACCATTCATTCACTCTGTCAACTCCTTCAGTTCTCTCCACTTGTTGACATTCTTCCTCGTCGACAAGAACAACTGTTGGCTCCTGTTTAAAAAGATTACAATAAATAGATTAATTAAAGCAGATAAAAAAGCCTTGAAAAGACCAGAAGAGAACAACTCCCAAGAAATGTTAAATAGTGAACAATGCACAGGCCACAAATACGCTTTGGATAAACTGTTCTGTATGACATTTACTTTACCAATGCAACTTCAGAGACAATAAAAGCTTCCTTTTCTACATAACAACTAAGAGGTATTGACTCGAAATCTTCACCATTCGTGTTTAATAACCAGTTATGCCATAGCAAACTTATCCTAAAATTTTGCTTTCAATATGCCAATGTCACCAGGCATATCATTTTCTAGTATAATAGACCAAAAACTTCTTGTTATGAAACCTCAAGCAAAACAAAGAAAAACCAATGATTTATAATGGAAAATCCCACAGGATTGCCAGCACAGGGACATGTAGAGCTTTTCAGCTTAAAAGTTGCTATAAATCACATGTAAATTAGGGAGATGCCAATATAACTTACCTGTCACTGATTTTCTCCTAAAGATAGTATAAATACTTGATCAACTCAAAGTCTACACACATGAACTGGTTAAGGATCAAATTCAAGCCCTCCGGTTGTGTTTGAATGCAATAAGTAAGAAAGAAAAGATCAAGTATAACAGTTCGCATGCTAATTGTACTTCTTTTACAAGTGAAATATTTATACCAGATATAACCGGGGATAACAGACATACATAAATTGCTTTAGACAAATGACAATCATATCCAAGATATCAGATTAATCTATCTGCAAAGGTGACAAATAAAAAGAATGAGCGTACCTTTTTAGTCTTCAAATCTTTGAAAAGTTGACCATGGAAATCATTTTCCCTACCATTGATTCTTATGATCGTTATGTTTTGGTCAACTCCAAATTGAAAATGATAAATGCAGCTACGAACAACTAATACTGATCAGAGTTAGGCTGGACGCCCAATGGAAGGACTCATACATTCTGGCAGTGCATAAATATGATGCGGCAACTAACCTTCCTGGGTAAACCTAAAGATGTCATTATCTAAGTTTCATCTCTAAGACTAACAAGTGATTGTCACCAGATATCAAAGTAGAATCCCAAAGAAAGGCATCATCTGGTCAATTGAATGATAGCTCACTAACAGTGCTGCAAATGGTGTCAAAAGCAACTGCCGAGACATCATCCAGGTGCAGATAAGGGTCCAGGTCCTACCAGGCATTCCAAATCAAATTGTAACATATCAAACTGAGAACTATTATTAGTCAATCATAGCATCAGCGCTACCATGAAGCAAGGAACTATATTCCCAGTGAATAGTCAAAATATCATCTTCATCAATGTCAGCTCACTTTGGAATTATCAAAATAGATTACGTTCTATATGGTGAAGTAAGAAAAAATTGGCAATTTCAATTTCAAACTATCTTTCCTCAGTGAATTATAAAAATAGACTCATATACTGCAACCATGTCATAATGGTGCAAATGTTTACAATTGACTCTTCCATGTAAGGTAAGGACAAGGAAGAAAAAGCACTATATATAAGCAAAATAACTCACCTTCTGGAATATCGACTAGAAAACATTCCGTCATGACCACGTAAGGTATAAATGGATGATGATCTAGTCTTCCGGTCACCGTTAGGTAAATGATCGGCTCGTTCCACCGAAAGATTTCTTGGTCCCTTAAATGGCTGTTTTCTGGAAGACGTATAAGCACTTTTCCTTTTTCTTGGCGAGATCTTTCCAATGGATTTCTTTATTAGCGGATTTGAGCAAGTCATGCTAGGTGGTTCATTCTTATGCAAGTTGGAAGCTCTACAAGGAGTCTGTGAAGAAAACTCAGTACACAGCTCCAGCAGTATATTAACGAAAAACGTAATTGTGGCAAACCAACCATACTTTGTCCTCCAATTTTTCAGAAAAAATCTTTGCGAACGAGGACTGCAGGGGGGCTGTCAATTGTGTTGTCACTTCTCTTAAGCCATCAGATGCACCTAAAGAAGCACGTCAGTTCCTCGCACGTGTTGTATAAGACAAGACTGATGATTGAAAGATATCATGAGCATAGCTAGCACCAATTACTGTAACTAATTATAAAAAAATTATGCAGTCCACTAAATTTGAAATGAAATCCATTTGACTTGTCTAAGGCTCCACATATGGAAGTTAGAGTAGAAAGAACACCAACATGGTCAAAATGCATTCCTACTTAAGATGTCATATCCCTATTATCTATTCAGCTCTAGCCTCATGCTTCAAACCTCAGAATTCCATAAGAATTTTCTTGCTGTTGTGTTACTTGAACAACCGGAGTATATGAGAAAGTGCAACCTGTAGTCGCAGAATCAAAAACAGATCTGGAAAGCGCACTTCTTCTGGCGAAAATGATGTCTTCTATAAACACTAATTTATCACGGTGATATAAAATATAGATTGAGAGAACACCTCGTGTTATTTGGAGACATCATCTGGCAGGATAAGACAGAATAATGGCACTCCAGCAATGAGCTACAGTCAATAAAAAATTGAACGGAACTTAGCGTCTCAAACTAATGCTACACATCTCCAAGGGTGCTAGTAAAGACAACCACTACATGAAAGAGGGGAAAAACTAACAGAAAGGGAGACAAACACTACCACAAGGCAGAGGAGAAAGTGGTGAGCTGCCTAGGTCTCTGTGGGGAAACCATTAGTTATTCTCTCCTCCTCTAAATTTAATCTTTATCAGCCCCTTATTTGCTCTCAGTTTCCTTTACATCTCAGGATTGTTCTCTATCTCTTTCTATCTAGTCCTCTTTCCAATAACGTAATCTCCAACTTCACCTATGTAGTTTCTTGTATCCGAATTGTTTATTTGTTTGTTCTTCTACCAAAATTTCCACGTCAGTTCTCAGCTTCAGAACTGAGAATTATTATATACTCTCTGCTAATCATTAGGAAGCAGAACTAGCTGAGATAATGAAAAAGTGAATTAACTGGCCAGAAATTTGGTAACAGGTAAAGGTGCTAGGTGACTTGCAAAAAAACAAGCACGAGTAAATTGTAATTTGGAAAATGAAGCAGATGAGATTCTATTTGATTTCACTATCCTTGTTTTGACTAGAGATGGTTCCAGAATGCTTTTGAGTTGCTCATTAAAAGCTTGAATCACGATGTCCCACTTCACTCAAACTCATATGGCTACTATCGCCTTCAACGCTGTACTTTTAGCGTTCCTTTTGCCACTGAAACGCTTTTCAATTGCCAAAATGCACAGCGTTCAGATCTCAGTGCCAACGATGACAACCAAAAGTAAATTCAAATACAAATGGTAATGCCATGTACAAGTCTCAGAAACATGGCCTTTTACCTTTTCTTTTATCGTGTAACTCTTCACTGAGGGTTGGAAACGCAAGGTTTGGGAAAAGTATAAACTATATTAATATCTGATATGGCGTAATCAATGCATAAGATTTTATAATATAAGCAATATAACAAGTTTAGACCACATAAGGTAAGAAGGCTAAGAAAAGAAAGGAAAAAATGATTGACAAAAATCAACATATTTGAGGATGAGAGGGAATCATAAACAAGCCAAAGCCACACATCATAACAAGCTTGGGCCAAGTATCTAATCTTCTACATAACGGCGCACCAGCATAAGAGGTCCGAAAAAATGATTGCAAAAATCAACATATTTGAGGATGAGAGGGAATCATAAACAAGCCAAAGCCACATATTGTAACAAGCTTGGGCAAGTATCTAATCTTCTACATAATGGCGCAGCAGCATAAGAGGTCCCAAAGTAGATCACATTTGTCCTCCAGCATCAAATCCACAGCGCTAAAGATCAGGTAAAAGCATAAGACGCTCTAAGGTTCACAAGCGCACAAAATTTGGCAGTAAGCCACTTCAGTGATGCAATATAAGCATCGGCGCCAATAATTATTCCACCCTCTCAACAAAAATAACTATTCAGAAAAATTATATACACCAATCAACCACCATGGGCATGGTATAACCAAGCTCAAATTTTCGAAAAACTATCAAAAGATATAATAATGATGTCATCAGAACAGCCAAGTCCTCACCATGAGCAATTGCACTAGTGGACTGCGTGGGCTCCTCACTTTCATCAGCATCCTGACAAAGTAAAAAAAGAGAAGATCCGCTCGCTGAGATTGACATGTGCTAAGAACTCTACAGCTATATGGACATCCACATTAACCATAACATAATCTGCTTCATATTACAATTCCATCCAAGCTTAAAGTCTGAATTTATTAACGATGACCAGTATCAAGTTTGAATGTCTTCATTATTACCCTTGTTTAATCATAGCAGCAAATGAAAAACAGTAAATGGGCACAAGGAAAATGATTAACTCTATTTTATTTCCAAGATCATGAGAATGTCCAAAACCAAGTGGCACAGAGCGACCTAATTACATCTCGTTTAGCTGACCACTAAGACAATTGCATGAGAAGAATCAGTTATTCCAAAGATCTTCAAAAATTAAGTCAACCATTTGAAACTTGACCTGGTAATTTGCTCACAACACAACTTGTATTGTTTGCAGATGTTATGTTTGATATCGCGCTAAACAGGCTATCAAGCTAAGCAAATACCCATAATCAAAACTCAAGCTTCAATAATATTTTCTTATCTATCTTAACTTTTCTCACATCATAGCAAGAGTAAAACAAAATAGATAATCAGGATGAAGGAACAATGGCTCAAACAACAAGCAGAAAATCTGAAAAGTTGACTTCAACTCTCAGACTGCATCCTCCAACAGCTACTCCCCTAAAGCATACATGTCTACTGTGAGGAAAATGTCAAATGCAGGTGTTGCCTATCTACAAACGTCGACTTAATGCCACGGGCAAACGCTAAAAAATGTCATCTTTCAATTTGAAAGTAAAAGATTCCGAGTCGTCATAAGGAAAGGAGAATGCTGTCCCTGAGGTTTGAACTCGACCACATCATAGATCCTTCCTACTTTTCATTAACATGAAAAAGGGACTTACTTTGCACAAAAAATTAGGACTTTTCTTGAACTCAGCTCTCGCCGGGTGTATTGAGCAACAGCATTGCGAAATTGCAAGCATAAGACTATAAACCCGTTCACTGGGAGCGCTCAGTAGGTATTGTAAATACGATTTCATTCGGAAAGAGTTAACGACAAAAAGCCCACAACCTTAATCTACTCGATCATCTGCAAAAGGTTTAACGAACTCCACCACAAACTAGCTATTGTCAAAAAAACACACGCCAACCCCACTTCATCGAGCCGTCCAATCTGCTGCCGGGCGATCGAAATCAACATCAAAACCAACAGACAAAGTTTTTAGAGCAAAACCTTCTCGACACGGCGGAGCTTCCTCCGCTCCTGCTCCTCCTCGAGGCGCCTGAGCATCGACCGGAGCTTATCCCCGCCGTCGTGCAAGCGCCGCTGGACGTCTCTGAGGGTGCGGGCCTTGCTGGCGATGGACTCCGCCAGCTTCTGGTCGCTGAGGCCCGCGATCCAGTCGTCGGACTCCATCACGGGAAGAGGGCCTCCGAAGGAGCAGCCGGAGGAGGAGGAGGAGGAGGAGCGCGTGACGATCAGGACCGGCGGGGGGCGGCCGGCGTCGTCGTCGGCGTCGGCGGCGGCGAGGAGCTTGTCCCAGTCGAGGCCGCCGCCGCGGCGTCGTTGTTGTCGTCTCTCCGATTCTTCCATGCAAGCAACGGGGAGATGGAAGGGGACTAGGGGGAGGGGGGCCTTCAACGGGCGAGCGTCGTTCCGTCGGGAGGAGCTTGCGGTTGCGGGGATGGCCGCATTGGTGGTGTCTGCGACTTGGGGGGGGGGGAAAGTGGGGGAAAAACGAAAAGCTGAGAGAGAAACGCAGAAGAAGCGGAGACGATGAACCAGATAGAGTGAAATGGTTCAACAACATTAAATTCATGGAAAATAATAATTGACGTAATATCCTCCAAAAACCCCAAATTGATATAAATTTATCTTAAATTAATTTCTTGACCATAGAAAATTTCAAATCGGTACACACAAATTTAGTCTTCGTTAATTTTCATCAAATAATTGCCGAGTTGGATGATATATGATGTGCTAATTTGGGACTTTATCTCCGTTTGTTATAGGTATACTCGTTTGTGATTTTTCGTTAAAACTAACGGAAAGTCAAATTGTTACAAATGTACCGATTTAGGGCTTTTAGTGATCAAAAAATTAATTTGAGGTAAATTGTTACGAGTGTACCAATTTGGGATTTTCGGTGATCAAAAAATTAGTTTATGATGAATTTATCACGAGTGTATCGATTCCAGATTTTTCGTGATATTAATCCAAAATAAAATTGGTAGAAGTGCAATTACAAAGGCTAAAACTTGGCAGCAATCGAATCCTAACACTTTTCAAACAGTATAGCCAAATCTTAAAATTTATCAAATTGTTACAATTAAATTTTTTCGTTGATTCTGTCAAAACTTGGCTAACAATAATTGCCGACGTGGCCCTTTCTTATTATTTTCTCTCTCCTACTAGACGCTAAAGTTAACTATTAACATTTTTTGCACGTGACCCAAAATGACTCGTTTTGGTGCCTTAGTTAACTTTAGAGCTAGGTAAGAGAGAAAAAATAAAAATAAAAAACCTCTTAATCATTTAGTGTTGGCCAAGCCCTCCACCTTTGGGATTTTTTTCTTTTTTGTGTGCGTTTTTTTATTATTTTTACCCTTTCTTTTTGTTTAGTTTGTCTTTTTGTTTTTGGGAAAACTTTTAGACTTATTTCAACCTAATATAATTAAGATTTTGTGTAAAAAATTAGGATTTGTACCAAAACCATATCGTTTTAGTACTTTAGTTAATTTTAATGTCACATAGGACGTCACGTAGGAGAGAGGAAATAAAAAAAAAATCCATGTCAACATTTTCTGTTAGCTAAATTTAACGAAATGACTTGATTGCATCAACTTGAGATTTGATGCACTTTGTGACAATTTTAGAATTCAATTGTACTTTCTCAACAATTTTTAGGATTTATAATGCACTTCTCCCAATAAAAATTGATAAGAGGAATCCTCAAAAGACCAAAAATATTATTCTTTTTCTTTTTCTTTTTTTTCTCTTTTACCTTTTATATCCCACTTTTTTCATTTAATTTTTCCCTCCTATTTGTTAGAATTACGAAGTACTTCGTTGCGGAAGTTTACCAAAAATCATTCTTTGATTTTTATTAAAGGAAGCAGGTTTTACGCCACCGGATGATGTCCAACCAAACGAAAAAATTAACAGCTTTACTTTGACTAAAACTATACACATGAAAATCGTGTCATAATTTAATCAATGACGAGACTCAGAGAGTACAACTATTACAAACGAATTGAATGTAAACAAATTATGCCAGATTTAATCGACAACACAGCCTGAATATGCTGAGATAAAGATGCACGCCGAAACTTAATCGATGACGCGAATTAGGAAACTAAAGCTAAGAAATATGCCATTGGAAAATAAAAAAAAAATTAATATAGGAAAGTAAAGATACTGAAAGATAGTGTACTTGTTTGATTTGTGCGGGATTCTCTTTAATAAGTGACCAATAGTATTTATAATAGATGTGTGGTAAGTGCTCCCTAGCTATTGCATTTTCCTCAAACGTTTCCATCGATTGTGTGATGCTCTTCCGTTCCCAAAATTCTTGTGCTAACACTTTTACGATCTCTTGATCTTGTTCTCAAGGATTATTCCTTTGAAAATCAACTGTCCCATGATCTTAGTTCCAAGTGACCGTTCCTTCGTCCTTCCATTTCGAAAGTTTCGTGCTCACATTCTCCACGATCTCATATTCTTGCTCTCGAGAAGTTTTCTCAAAACATTAGTGTCAATTGCTCCATGATCTCAATTGCCCAGTACAGAGGTCCTGAGCTTTGAATTACATCTCAACATTTCTTATGCATTCAACGGATCGTACACCATTCTTCGCTCATTGGCACACTCGTTGATAATTGTTAATCATTTGTCATCGTATATCGACAACCGATTGGCAACATTCATCAGCATGTGTCGCCCGATGTGCGTTAATTTCAATTGCTAATACCAATATGGTCATCAATAATGAGTCGCGTGCATGATAATGCCCAAATGCCATGCAGGAGGTGATCCAAGAGCGTGAACTTGTTTACCTACTCCCGCTCTTGAAAGAATTTTCATATCCAACTATGGTATTGCAGAACTGTCTAAAGTTTGAAATATCTTGACGCTGGCTGCAAATGATAAAGTGAGACAAGTTTGGAGCTTCAAAAGTCACCAACAAAATATCTTTGCTTGTCAGGTTAAAGATGTGGACGGCCGTGTTTCTGTGTATTAAACAGCGAAGGAAGATGGAATAAGATGTATCAGACCCCTCTCCCCTCTTCCTCAATCGCAGAGAGGCTCGAGATTGCTCTCGATGGACCCTATGGACCTGCCTCAACCAATATGTTGGTATGATTTGTTAGAACGGATCGTATACTTAGTTTATCCTGTTCGTGCAGAACGGGTTCTCAGATGAAGTATGTCCTTATGGTCAAAGTCATGGGGTCTTTTGGGTTCTAAAATGAGAGTCAAGTTCTCAGGCGACATGAAACGGTTCATCAGCAACCTCCCTTAGTGTTTAGATTTGTTTCACATTATGTTACTTTGTGCCAAAAATTGGAAAGCGAAATTTGAACTTGAGTCTTGATGAATTGCTGTAAATATCTTTACTTCTATGAATCTGTTATGCAGTATGAATTCAGTATGAATGATTTTAGGGAGGGTTTTGCTCGTCATCTATTGTCACTTTTTTCAGTAGTGATCTCACACCCGTTACGGAACGTTCGATTTCAGATATAGCTATGTCCAATCGTGAACGTACGAGCTCACCGTCCCAATTCCGCTGGCGTGCTAGAAGTCAATAAGTCTCTTCGCATGAAGTAGCGCAAATGCCTAAGGCACAAATATACTGGAGATTCGCTTACGACATGGCTCGAACTTGTGAACTCATAAAAGGTAACATGACTCTTTTAACGACTTGGCTACCATGCTCTGTGATGGCCAAAAGTTACTCGTGCGCACTCGTACGTGACTAGTTGTCTTAGATGGCAAGATCCTTTTGAGATGGTGTCAGATCAAAGGGAAAACAAATAATAGAAAGTTGGCAGGAGACGTGAAGATCCACCAAGTAATTTGGGCAGCAATACTAACGTTCCCTTTATCTTCTCTGCTTGTCCTCTTTCCTTGATGGCATAAATGGAACTCCAAAAGTCATCGTGACATTTGTAATTAGTGCCTACAATCTGCATATTCGGCAGGAAACACATCTTTAATCAGAGATTGAAACATCTCATTCCATTGTAAAATAGCATTTCTCGGCCCGGACGGTCTTCTTAGCACTATTGGAATCAACAAATATTATATCAGATAAATAACAAGCTGAGGAAAACAGCACAATTTGGACACCCAGCAACAATCTTCTTCTCCATGTTTGATTAGAAGTAACAGCCAGCCATATGCCTCATTTGCATCTTCAGCTCATGTCCCTCCAAGGAGCTGTCTCTTTCACACAACAATAAGAAATCTGGATAGAAAAGGTTAAAACTTGTCCTGATGGCAACAACTCTTTTCGAGTCCTTGTTAAGGGTGGATACAGATGAGGGGAGTGATAATTTCAAGATACTCTTCTCCCGATCTCCAGCCAAAAGCTATAGCCCTCCTGGATTCTATCCATCATGTTTCCCCTTTAAATTGACCAAAAAGAAGAAAATTTTGGTTTTCTCAAAGTATACCATTGTCTCAATCCTCATCATGAAGCACCTTGTAGATTTTCAGTAGACCAACCCTCCATGACCATGGCTAACTCCTGCAGATTTCACAAACTGGAGAATGAAGAGCAACTCTCCTTTATTCTAATCATATCTGTTGTCTTCACCACGATGAATCTCGTGTCCTCTCAAACTGCGATAGCCAACTGTTCTTTGGATGGTAAAGTCACCCTTTATGATATTAACCGAACTTGCCAAAATGCGAGTTGGGGTGGCTTCATCAACCATGACTGTTGCGGAGTATCCTTTGACGAGTATCTCTACGCTCTAGGCCAGCAGGCGAACCTGACTGGACAAATATTCCTCGGTGCCATGGAGCAGAAGAACTGCTTAGCCTCGATGAATGCTACCGAGTCAAATGTCCTCGGATGTGGAATCGAGAAGCTGACAAGAGGGGCCGGCGGCTGCTCCGACTATTTGGTCACAGATGTGGTGACTCGGCTAGGAGATAGCTTAAGGAACTTGAGGAAGGATTGTGATCTGGGTCAAGATCAAGATGGCTCATCGAAGCAGGGTTGCAGCGCTTGTCTCGCTACGTGGGAGGAGATTGGTAAATCATCCGCTAATGGAACAGAGACAGCGAAACTTGACGCCGATCTATGTCGGTTTGCAGCTTTGATTACATTGACGGGCAAAAAGTCTGGTGATAAAAATTGGGTACGGTCGGTATACAAATGCCTTGGGGAGCCGAGTGGTCTTCACGTAGGTAAAAGTTCTATGATACTTTGAAATAAGTCGATCAGTTATCCATTTTATTTCTATGCTAATGAATATCAATGATAAGGTTTTCACACGATCTAAGCATTTTTTTGAGCCATCTCAGATGAAAAGGACAGTATCAACAAGAAGAGCCCTGGCATCAAATCTAGAACAGGCAAGCTCATGGGGAGGAGTCATTTCGACTGATGATTTCTTAAGGCTTGATGTTTTTCTGTGCTGCAATTGTTTGTTGTAATTTTCTGTTTTGGATGATCCACAGGCCTATGGATTGTAATAGCTGGTCTGGTAGGAATCGTCATAGTTATAGCTATTGCAGCATGGATATGGTTCAAGAAGAGGGTTAAAGTTCGTGTCCCAAAAGAAAAAGAAGGTACTGTTGAAGTCATTTGAAGATCATGCTTAAACCATTTCCTTCATCTGCTCTTTTTTTTAAAATCTTGTTTGCCGTGAATGATTTGCATAGTCTATATCCTGACAGATTCACCAAAACTGCCTTCCGAGGATTCCAGCGGTCTCAAGATATCAATTAAGGAAGTTTATTTGGCAACAAACAATCTCAACCCAACAAAGTTCATTGGCCAAGGCATAGCAGGTAAGAATTAGAGATCTTGCTCTCTTTTTCTTAATCAGATTCATTACATGCTAGCAGGATTGAATAGGTAGAAGAACACATTGCATTCCATCATCGCCAGCAAGAAGACGGCACAAAGCCCTGGTCTTGTGGCAATAAGCGATTCAAATTTTTTTGGCATTGACCTATTTAGGAAGACCATGGTTTTGCTTAATTTGCGGAAAGAAAAGCATTGATAAGAAGGCACAAAAGCCTGGTATCGTCTTCTGCATGCCCTAACTGCTGCTCAGGGGCATCTCCAAGAACATGGGAAAAAAAAGGAACGAAAACCCGAAAGAAAAAACTTGTAAATGAACCAGAAACATACATGAAACTTTTGCACTTCAGAGAAAGTATCCGATCACTTATATAGTCTTTCATGGCAGGCAAGGTGTACAGGGGCATTCTCTCCAACGGTCAAGACGTGGCCATAAAGCACATCATTAGCGAAGGCCATACAGATACATACGTTAGAGAAGTCGCCAGCCTTTCAGATGTCCGGCACCCGAACCTGGTAGCTCTGCTGGGCTACTGTGAGAATGAAGATGAGTGTTTCCTTGTTTATGAGTTGTGCCACAACGGTAACCTCTCAGAGTGGCTGTTCGGTACGAATCGATACCCTGTCCTGTCTATCTGTTCCCCGAGTTATCACGTTAACCACGTTGACCACTTACTGAGATGGTGTGAACTGCAGGAAAAGATAAAGTACTCTCGTGGATCCAAAGACTCAAAATCGCCATTGACAGCGCAAGGGGACTCTGGTTTCTCCACACCTATCCAGAAGGCTGTATTGTTCACCGTGATATTAAAGTGCGTTTCCGAGTTTACACAGCACATGCTTCTCTTATAACCAAATCTCCGTAGTTTTGCTCTGTATTGTCTTTAAGTTTTTATCGTTACTTGCTCAATTCCCAGCCGACAAACATTCTTATTAGTGCCAACTTCGAAGCCAAGCTGTCAGATTTTGGATTATCCAAGGTGATGGATGTGGACCAGTCGTTTGTGAGCTCAGAAGTCAGGGGAACATTTGGTTATGTTGATCCTGAGTACAGAAGGAACCGCCATGTCAATGCTTCAGGTGATGTCTACAGCTTCGGGATAGTACTTCTGCAGCTTCTCTCTGGACAGAGGGTTATCAATCTAAATATGAATCGACCGATGCCTCTAGAGAGAATGGTACGGATTAATGCTTTTATCAAATTCGACAAAGTCATTTTCCCTATGATTAGCTGTCGTATGAATGTGCTTTCTACCTCACAGGCCAAAGTCCTTACGAAAGGCGGTAACATAGCAGAGTTTGCTGATCCAAAACTCAATGGAGAGTACTTGGCCGAAGCTTTTGATCTAGTGCTCAAGCTGGCATTGTCATGCACAGGATTTAAGCAGCAAAGGCCATCCATGGAGCAAGTTGTATCAAGACTAGAAAAGGCACTAGATATGTCGACCGAAGGGAAATCAACAATATCACGTAGCGAGAGAGAGAGGAACTTGGCATACAAAGAATAATAGGAAAAGAAAAAAGTTTTTTTGATTTGATGGAGCATAATCAACTTTATGTTTACAGAGGTACAAGGCATTTTATTGTCAATTACATTGAAAAAGAATCGGAATACAAGGGGTTATTTGTACAGAAGGCTTCATGGGTAAAAAGCAGAAAGCCAATATGACTCAACTAGCTCTTCAAAAATTGAGCTAATTTTGTCAATGCATCACAAAGGATGAAAACAATAAAGCAATATCTACATGACTGATGACCGCAACAAAGTAAAATAATTCCCTCAAAAATTCGGGTTACCAAGCATGGACAGATTGTTCCTGTTGGAAAATTGCAGGCAGCGAACCACAAGATCTTCTTTCAGAAAAATCCTGCAGAAGCCTGATGAGAGCACTGGCCTTCTTGCTTGCGCGAGAAGTGCCCTCGCTCAGTAAGGAATAGAGAGATTGCATGAGAGAGCTACTCTTCACCAAATTGGAGATAACTTCTGCTCCACCATTGATGCACAGAGCCAGCAACAGAGTCACACAATGCTCCCTCCCCACCCTTGAGGTAGAAGAATTCAGAATCCCCATGATTATATACAAAGCACTGGCACGTAAAATCACTGATGTTCCCTCAGATTTCTCTGCTATGCTTGACAGAACAGCCAGGCAATCAATAACGAAATCTTCTCTATCAGAAGACTTCAACTGTTGAACAAGCACCGGGACTGCTCCGGATGCAAGAACCCTCCTGTGATTGCCATGGTGCATTAGAAGCCCAAAAACTGCCACTAATGCGTTCTTCTTGCCACGACTGGTTCCATTCTTGACCATCTCCACTAAAACTGTGATGGTTTCTGGAATTTCCCCAATCAATTTCCTATACTCCTCTATCGAGGCAAGGTAAAACAGTGTTGCAGCTGCATGCTGCCTAGCTTCAACCTTATGCCCATATTTGAGAACCTTCACAACCAATGCCAAACCGCCATTCTTGACGATAATTGCTTTGCTCTTTGAATGCTTCGAGAGATTCAAAAGAGCTGCAATAGCATTTTCTTGGATTGATGAATCCCTTGACGTCAGCAGCTTTAACAAGGGAGGAATAGCTCCAGCTTCAACCAAGCACGATCTATTAAAAATGCTCGTCTTGGCAAGAAGCCGGATCTCATAGGCAGCTCTATTTCTCTCCACACCAGTCCCAACCTCCAGCCTGGAAGCAAGATAGCTCGCAAGCATTTTCATGGCTCCTTCTGCTGCCACACTCCCGGCGAGAACAGTCCTCGTGATATCGCGATTCTTGCGAGCTGATTCAGCAAAAGGAATGCCATTCTCGGAACAGTATTGCTCGATCAACCGCCTAATCGCTGCATTCGGAACAAGTTCCGTGCTTGCAAGCATCTCACCTGTCTTAGGACAAGTGAAATTTCCAGCCCTAAACCACTTCACTATCGAAGCTCTATCATATGTATGTCCTGTGACTGTGGTCACTGGATCGACCATCAACTCGAGAGAAATTGGGCACCGAAAATCATCCGGATTGATGTGATCAAGCACTTTAATAGCATGCTCTTCATTGGATTGTCGATTGGATTCGATGTCGACAACCTTGAAAAGCACGCATCTACAGTAGCACATCAACCCCATCAAACTACTCAAAATCTCCACCTCCCTCTTCTCAACACTCGAAAACTCAAACCCTAATTCAGCATCCAAGAACCTGATCTCCTTATGGCAATCGGTCCAGCTCCTCACACCAACATAATCAAGAACACGCTGTAAAGCACTCCTCTCCGGAGCAATGCCGCACTCAAACCGACTCAAAATCGACATCAAATCGCTAAGCGCTGTCCGATCATCTACATCAACTTCGAATCTCACCTTACGCGCGTGCCTCACGAACAAACCGGCGATCTCCCTCGCTTCGACCGGCACGCCGACGTCCTCCATGGGCAGCACATCCAGCGCCGTCGCCATCGCGCGGGCCGAGGAGCGAAACTGGCCAGCCACGCGCTCCGACTTTACCAGCATCCACGCGCGCGCCCCGTCGCGCGTGCAGTCCTCGAGGAGGCACCGGAGCTTCCGGAGCTCCAGGTGGAGCTCCGAGAGGCCGAGGGCGACGGAGCCGGGCGCGCGCGGCGGCGGCGGCGGCGTGGGGACGACGACTTCCTCGAGGAAGATGAGGAGGTTGGCGACGTTCCGGATCGACTCGGCGGCGTTCCGCCGGTTGCACGCGAAGCGCCCGGACTTGCAGGCGAGGATCGACCTCGCGAGGTCGGCGACGGAGGAGAGGAGGGCGGACGGAGGCGTGCGGTCGGAGGGGTGCACCGCCGGGAACGTCAGCGTCCGGCGAGTCGGCTCGGCGGCGGTCGGCCTCTTGGCCATCGAGCGGAAGAGGATCTTTTTTTGCGGAAAATGATTAAAGAAATGGAAAAAGGAAGGGCGATTTTGTCTTTTTACTTTTCTTTTTTCTTTTTGGCTCGTTTTGTAGTTTTGTGTTTGTCTTGTTTCGGATTAGCTTTAGGAGCTGACTATATATAGGGCGGGAGGGGAAGGACACGTGGAGAAACTCAATTCGTTGTCGGGGGACGGGCCTATCTGAAGCGTACAGTACTTTTCGGCTGGATATGTGAGGACACGTGGCGAGAGGGCAAGCAGGGGGACGGTTTTCCTGGATTGTTCGTGACCTGACTGAGGGAGCGACACGTGGCGAGGGGTGTGTGGTAGGGAAAGCCTCGTGGGACGTGAAGGGATGTGTAGTGGTAGTCTCACGTTGCATCATTGACCAATCATCGCCGACTTTTCGGTATTTTTCTTTTTCTCGCTTGGTATGGTGCGGACGTGTAGCGGATGTATGCATTAAAGAAACTACGGCGATTTCAATAATGTTCATTAGTTTTTACTCTTGTGATTTCATCGATGATTCTTAGAAAATATTACCTTATATAACTTTATTCATTGATACTAATTATCCATATCTCTTCAAATATGTGATCGGTCCGTTTAATAGAGATGAGGGTGAGGATTTAAAATTGCGTTTGCTCGTCGGAATTCGGATTGTGATAGGATGGGATAAAGTAGGATTAGATTTCCGTTGAATATCTTCCGAATTATAGAAAATTCTATAATATGTTTAGTGCAACATAAGATGGGATAAAGCTTTGACACCTAAGTTTGCTAAAAGAAGTCAAAGTATTGGCGTGAAAGTTATTGGGCACGAAAGAACGGAAATGGTTCCAACAAGAAGAGGGAGGTTCTTGATGGGATCGGCAAGGGCGTTGAATTGCTGCGGAGTGGTTTGAAAAGCCATTTCTGATGGTCTTTCCTTGTGGGAGATGGCTAAGCCTTAGAACTTCATGATAAGTTTTTAGTTCATTTTTCTTGTCTCGAGGATTCACCAATCGATTCTAAAGAGCCGAGAGTATAGTAAGAATGCAAGATGTGAAACACTGGCACCGCGGCCTTCTTATCCCATGAGTTGGAACTGCAAGCTCTCGCTCATAGGAAATTCGTCAAAGGTAGTGTCGGTGGGGACGAAGAGGGCGATCTCGATGTCGCCCTTGTTGGCCTAGAATTCTTGGACGACTTTGGAGGCAGCGGCGTTGAAGTTGTGACCCCTGATTAGGGCTTTAGTGATGTTGATGCCAACAGGAGGGCGAGTCTCAAAGGCCACGAGGTCGAAGCCGTAAGGGACGAGGAGGGAATTGACGGTGAGCTCGAACTGCAAGCTCTCGCTCGTAGGCAATTCGACAAAGGCGGTGCCGATGGGGACGCAGAGGGTGATCTTGGTGTTGCCCTTGTCAGCCTCGAATGCTTGGATGACGCTAGAGGTGGCGAGCATCGAGGTGGCACTATTGAAGTTGTGGGCGTCAATTGATGTTGAGGCCCAGAGGAGGGCGAGTCTCGGAGGCCATGAGGCTGAAGCCGTAAGGTATGAGGAGGGAATTGACGGTGAAGATGGAGAGGTTGTCAGGGAGCTCAAGGAGGGTGACGTTGGAGGGGGGAGTAAGCGGTAGGGGAGTGGACAGAGACGGCGCCAGTGGAGAGGTTGTGCGTGATCTTGACAGAGCTGAACCTGTTAAGTAATTTTTTAAATTGCTTTTATTCAATCCAGGTTTATCCCATCTGTATCCCGTATTTGTTATCAAACATTTCATTCAGATATACCCGGGTTATCAGGTTTGGAGGACATTACCAAACACCAGATAGGATAATTTGTTATTCTATCCGGACTCAAATCAAGCTACCAATTGCAGTCTAATTTCTTATTGGAGTCGCATATATGTGTCCTATGTGCGAAAGAGAAATTAGCGTGGGCTTGTATTGACTTGGGCCTTGGGCTGGTCTCGTTATGAGCCCAATTATCTTGGTTATCCAGTTTGAAGCTGAACCGCATTCGTATTCTTCTTCTTTCGCGAAGGTCCGGTTCGCCTCCTTTGCTGCATCCGCTCCGCGGGAATCGTTGCTCTTTGACGCTAGAGAATCAGCTCGCCGGAGAAGGTATCGGCTCGTCGGCGAAGGCCCATCGCTCGCGGCGGAGGGTTTTGGATTTCTCTCGTTTCTTCTGCCTCGTATACTTCGTTTCTGCTAGGGTTTCGAATTTCGATTCCGTCGCTTTTGACTGTTCGCTCTTGAACGTTGTCCTATGGTCAGGGTGGAAATTATTTTTTTGGTCAAAATTATTTATTTATTATTAATTTTCCTAATTCTTGCGCGAGTTTGGTTGGAGGGGAGATCGAAAATCCATGCGCCCACCTCTCTCTCTCTCTTCATTCCTGAAATTTCTGCTTCGATCCTCCTCCCTTTTCGAGCAAGGATGGCGACTTCCTCCCCCCGCCGTCCTTTGTCGCCTCCGATCCTCCTCCTGGCCGGAGGAGTTCTACTGGCGTCGACGTCGGACAACTCGCACGACGACAAGGCCGCCCTAACCTCCCCCTTCTGCCACGACGTCTTCTAATTGGTGACAATTCCCTTCCCTTCTTGGAAGGGCTTTCTCTTGCTGAAACACCCCGGTCTATACCGGGTAATATTATCCGCTTTGGGCCCAATGACCTCATGGCTTTAAAACGCGTTACACAAGATAGGCCACCCAGGCCTAGACCCGTCAAACGGGTGGGTCGGGTCAGGTTTGGGTCGGGTCGAATATGGGTCGACCCATATTCACCCATTTAACCCGTTTTGACCCATTTTCATGCAATGCAAATATAGTGACCCATACCCGAATTCGACCCATACCCGACCCGCACCCGACCCGACCCATATTACTAGAACATATTAATAATTTAGGAAAACTCATACCCATCCATTTAATTCACTTTAACCTCTTCACATGTATATGTTATTAGAATAATGTGCCAATTCTACTCTAATCATAGTCTCGATCGCTTTTTCTTCGAAAAGTGTGACCTCTGTAGTTTCTGAGCAATTTAAAAATTTGCAATTGTAGTTTGAAATCCACACATTATGTGTAGGAGAATGGGTCGAAAGGAAGGACCTCTCTATTGCTATGTGACATACAAACATAAAGAATGAAGAGATTTGGAAGAAGAGCATGCATCGAAGAGTTCGTTCAGCTTCCTTTTGTGACAAAATGCACAAGTAAACTACATCAAAACCCTTCATTACGGCTACAAACTAAGGAATGATCACAATCTCAACAATGATGAGAAAACACCCAGCAGTAGACAAGCCATTCAAAATTTTCAGTTGTAGATATTAACAGGATGTTACAAGAGTTCCTCTTGCCAATGAGCCAAAAAATCACTTGCCACCAAGAGATATAGGCAGTCCTATTAACGTCATAATCGATTATGTGATGATGACACGAGTTCCCCAAACAATGTTACAAGTATGATAGCCAGGAGCAGCCAACAAGAAAGTTGGAAACTCTTAAAGCCAATTCGAAGGCCGCGAGTCCACAATTAGGAGCATCACAACACCCAAACAAGTTGCACAAATTGACCAAGATCTTCAGGCTCAGATTACCAAAATGGGACTATGGGCTTTTACTATTATGTCTACCCCATTGCGAAAAAAAAAAAACCTTAATATTCAGCAAATCAACATTAATCAAGTAAATGATAACCATATCGTTTCATGTAATTCCATATCCCCAATCATTTCATTCCATTCCCTCTTCAGCACATCAACCCCAGCCCACTCCACTGCTGGAAACACAATTCTGCAAATAACTATGCATTGGACATTTCATTCCATTCCTACCATCGCCACCACCACCAATAACATAGTGGACCTCAAAGAAAAGAGGGACCAAAAACATATTTGAAAAATTATTAAGACAATTCACTTTCTTTGGAAAGCAAAGTTCCAAAGAACGAAAAACAAGGACCTTGAAGAAACTTCCCCGCAAATGAATGGAGGTTAGCTTTTCAATTATCTTTTTCCAAGCTCCCGCATCGAAAACGGCACAATCCCAGTAAGCAACCTCTCAAATCGACAGATTGGACAAAAACAATCGTGGGTAAGCAAGTGAGCCATTTTACATGCCACTTAAATTCGTCTTCAACGAACAAAGCATCGAATTTTCAAGAAAACAAAAAGAGCAAAAGAACTGCGATTCACCTCAGCCGAGCTTGTCGCCTTGAGACCGAAACGATCGGGCCAATTGTTGGTGATCGCGACGATGACGGGCCGTCCTCGTCCAAAGCTGGCTTTTTTGACGCGGTCGTTCTTGACTCCCGAGACGCCGGCGCCTTCCCGCCTTCGCCCGGTGGGTCGTCTTGTTCGTTGAAAGGAGATTTGGGTACTTGAAATAACAGAACACGACGAGCGGTGAAGGGCTGCGAGCGACGAGCGGCGGCGCGGCGAGCGACGAGCGGCCAAGGCGACGAACGACGAGCGGCAAAGCGCGGCGAGTGGCGGCGCGCGGCGGCGGCAAGGCGGCGAGCGACGAGCGGTGAAGGAAGCGCGCGGCGGCCAACAAGAAGCGTAGGTTGGGAAGCGTCGTTCGTGGATGGGCGCCTGAGCACCGAGCAGTAATTCGGGTGGTGGGTTTAGAAAATATGGGTTACAATATGAGTCACCGGTGACCCATATTTTAACCCATTTTTTGGACATTATATATTCTCTAACCCATTTGAGCTCATTTTTTAGAAAAGTGAGTTACCCAAATAGATATGGGCTTCCTAAAAATGAGTTATAAAATGGGTACGTGACCCATTTCCCTAAGCTCGGCCGAAGAACTTCGAGAACCCGAAGCTCTTGTCAAGGGCAGTCATAGTCACCCGCCCTAGGCCTCTGCCTCATGCTAGTAAAGAACACAGCATCACTTCCACCTGCACACGTCTGGGGTAGTGGCGCGGACGCACCGCCATCCCTCCTCCCCTCGCTCCGCCGCTTGGCTTGGGTCGTCACACTTGCGATTGGATTTTTTTTTGAAGTGCTTGTTTCGCTTCCGCCGTGGCCTCCGATTGAGCTTTTGGCGGTTCTTGAGCCGCGCCTCTTCCTTGTCGGAGAAGTTAGATTCCTCCGAGCTTCGATTTTCGATCTTTGATCTTC